GCTGAAAGATTTCAGTATTTGAAGAAAATCCTCGATCTCAAAACCACGCCTACTTGCAGCATTCGAACCACCAATAAGGACACTCTCTCTCAGGCAGGCCCCACCCACAAAGGACTCAGCAACAATCTCGATATGGGATGGAGGAACGCTTCGCGTTCCATTTCCCAGTGACATCCAGCGTCATCAAGATTTCATATTGCCTGGCGTGGGTAATAACATTGTTTACGTCGAAACCCACAATAACGTATATTTACCTTTTTTGGTTTTTTAAAAATTTTAGTCGGAAAGACTTGGTCCGTCATATTATTTAAACTCGTGAGCACTCACGAACAGTCTTTTAGTTCTCATAACTTAAATGTAACAGAAACGCTCTCTCGCATTGTCAGGATCGCCGGGCGGTCTAAAAGGCGCTGCAATCAGGTCGCAGTCCAGTTGCGTGTTCGGGGCCAACTCCCCGCGTCGAGCAGTAATTTAGTTGAGTTATTTTTAGTTCTCATAAAAGTAAATTAAGGAAACGTTTTCTTAAATTTCAGGATGGCCAAGCAGTCAAAGGCGCTGCGTTCATGTCGATTTCCACTTGCTTTTTGGCGTGGGTTCGAATACCGCTTCTGACAATGTATTTCTGTCAGTCATTTTAGGTTAAAAAACTACATGCAAGGGGAAAGCTATTTTGCGTGTCAGGAAGGCCGAGCGGTCAGGCGCTGCGTTCAGGTCGCAGATCCCTTCAATGGGCGTGGGTTCAATCCCACTTCTGACAATAAATATTTATTCAGTTATTTTTTTTTGGTTCAAAAACTAAATTTAAGGTAAATCTCTTTCACATGTAAGGATGGCGGATCGGTCTAAGGCGCTGCGTTTAGATCGCATTCCATTTCTGTGGGCGTGAGTTCGAATCCACACCTCTGACAATAAAATTTTATTCAGTCATTTTTTTTAGTTGTCATAACTTAAATGTAAGGAAACACTCGCACGTTTCAGGATGGCCGAGCGGTCTAAGGCGCTGCAATCAGGTCGCAGTCCACTTGTGTAGGCGTGGGTTCGAATCCCTTTTCTGACAATGTATTTCTATTCAGACATTTTGAGGTTAAAGAACTAAATGCAAAGGGAAAATATTATGCGTGTTAGGATGGCCGAGCGCTTTAAAACGCTGCAATCAGGTCGTAGTCACTTGCATGGGCTTGGGTTCGAATCCACTTCTGACAATGTATCTCTTTTCCAGTCATTTTTGAGGTTAAAAACTACATGAAAGGTAAAAGCTCTTTTACGTGTCAGGGATGGCCGAGGCGGTCTAAGGCGCTGCTGCGTTCAGGTCGCGATCAATTTTGTGGGCGTGAGTTCAAATCCTACTTCTGACAGTAAAATTTTATTCAGTCATTTTTTTTTTAGTTCTCATGGCAAATGTAAAAACTCTCTCGCACGTGTCAGGATCGCCGAGGCGGTCTGGGGCGCTGCAATCAAGTCGCAGTCCACTTGCGTGTTCGGGGATCGAATCCCACTTCTGACAATGTATTTCTATTCAGTCATTTATTGAGGTTAAAAAATAAATGCAAGGGAACTATTGCGCGCGTTTCAGGATCGCCGGGCGGTCTAAGGCACTACGTTTAGGTCGCAGTCCGCTTCTGTGAGCGTGGGTTCGAATCCCACTTCTGAAAATAAAATTTTATTCACTTTTCATAGGTTCAAAAACTAAATGTAAGGTAAATCTCTTTCATGTCAGGATGGCCGATCGGTCTAAGCGCGCTGAGTTCAGGTCGCAGTCCACTTGTGTAGGCGTGGGTTCGAATCCCACTTCTAACAATGTATTTCTTTCAGTCATTGTTTGAGGGTTAAAACTACATGCAAGGGAAAGCTATTTTTTGCGTATCAGGATGGCCGAGCTGTCAAAGGTGCGGCGTTCAGGTCATGAGTCCACTTCTGAGGGCGTGGGTTCGAATCCCACTTCTGACAATGTATTACTATACAGTCACTTTTGAGGTTAAAGAACTAAAGGCAAGGGGATAGCTTTTTCCGTGTCAGGATGGCCGAGCGGTCTAAGGCACTGCGATCAGGTCGTTGTAAAATTCTGCGGGGCGTGGGTTCGAATCCACTTCTGAAAAAATTTTATTTAGTTACTTTTCTTAGGTTCCAAAAACTAAATGTGAAATCTCTTTCGCATGTCAGGGTGATCGAGTGGTCTAAGGCGCGGCGTTTCAGGTCGCAGACCCTTCTGTGGGCGTGTGTTCGAATCCACTTCTGACAATGTATTTCTATTCAGTCATTTTTTGAGGTTAAAAACTAAATGCAAGGCAACGCTGTTCTACCTTTCAGGATGTCGAGCGGTCTAGCGCTGCGTTTGAGTCGATCACTTCTGTGGGCGTGCGTTCGAGTCCACTTCTGACAATAAAATTTTATTCAGTCATTTTTTTATTTCTCATAAAGTAAATTAAAGGAAATGTTCTCTCAAATTTCAGGATGATCAAGCGGTCAAAGTCTGCGTTCAGGTCGCAGATCCACTCGGCTATCCGGTTTTTGGCGTGGGTCAAATCCCTTCTCATAATGTAATTTTATTTTATCAATATTTTTTTTTAGTTTTCATAAACTAAATGTAAAGATCTTTTCAAGTTAAGATTCTGAGCGGTCCAAAGCGCTGCGTTCAAGGTCGCAGTAAAAATTCTGCAGGCGTGGTTTCGTATTCCACGTTTGACAATAAAAATTCATTCATTCTTTTTTTTTTTTTTTTAGTTCCCATTAATTAAATGAAAGAAACACTCTCTCACGTGTCAGGATGGCCGAGAGGACTAAGGCGCTGCGTTTAGGTCGCAGTCCACTTGTGTGGGCGTGGGTGCGAAGATCCCACTTCTGACAATAATATTTCTATTCAAACATTTTTAAATGTTAAAAAACTGAATGCAAGGGGAAAGCTCTTCTACGTGTCAGGATAGCCAAAACGGTCTAAGCGCTGCGTTCAGTTCATGATCCACTCATTTTTTGGCGTGGGTTCGAATCCACTTCTGATAATGTAATTTTATTCAGTCATTTTTTAGTTTTCTTAAACTAAAATGTGAGGAAAGATCTTTCACCCAGGATAAGATTCCTAGACGGTCGGTCTAAAGCACTTGCGTTCAGGTCGCAGATCCACTGCTGTGGGCGTGGGTTCGAGATCCCTTCTGACAATAAAATTTTATTCAGATATTTTTAGGTTCGAAAAGCAAAATGTAAAGAAATCTCTTTCACTTGTTTTATATTCTGTTTTTATGTTTTTTTGTTGTTTTTGAATACCATTTTACCAAATATTTAAAAGAAAAGTTTTTAATTCTGCTGCTATGTAAATTCGTTAACGGGTGAATATATAAAACACTAATGAAACTTTTCAAGAAATAGTGTGTATAATCATGTATTACCAAAGCCATATTTTCATGTATTGACACAATTTCACATGAGTATTTATGATGCTTTAGAGTCAAATTTTATGAAAGTAATGTATCAGAACTGAAATTCCTCAAAAAGTGATACAGAATTTGAGTAAAATAATTAAACGCTAAAAAAATAACTCGATAGCTTAAAGTGAAAAATGCTATAAATGTATTTTCTGAGAAATCTAAGTATAAGAAAAATTAAAAAAGCCTTAAAGTAATTAGGAATAAGCTAGTATTTAATAAAATAGGGCAAAAACATGTTGTAATTCATTATTTTTGTGATCAAATGCTTTTACACTAAAAATGCAATTATCTCAAAATGGTTGTTTTCAAACCACGAGTACAGTTTTCTCAGAATCTACAGAATGAGTGAACAATGCAATTTTACTGCACATAATTAATATGTAACTCTATATACTAAGCTTATTTTTTGGTAAATTTTCTTGAAATATTTTGCGGAAAAGCAGTTATCGTAAAAAATTTGACAGTTTTCAAAAAATTTCAAAGTGATACTTTTACGATGATTTTTTTTTGAAAAAAGTAAAACAATATATTTTAAATATATTTACCAGTAATTAAATAAAAAAGTATAATTAATATACAGACAAAATTTGAAGTTTATATATTTTAACAGTTTCTGAGAAACTTGTACCTCAAAATGGCTCAATTTAACATTGTCGGTATAAAATTTTACAAACTTCCCTTCAGTCTTTTTTTTTTTTTTTACTTCTCATAAATTAAATGTAAAAGAAACGCTGTCGCACGTGTCAAGATGGCCGAGCGGTCAAAGGCGCTGCGTTCAGGTCGCAATCCACTAGTTTGATTAGGTTCGAATCCCTTCTGATAATGTAATTTTATTCAGTCATTTTTTTTTTTAGTTTTCATAAACTAAATGTGAGAAATATCTTTCACAGTTAAGATTCCTGAGCGTCTAAAGCGCTGCGTTCAGGTCGCAGTAAAATTCTGTAGGCGTGGGTTCGAATCCCACGTTTGACAATTATATTGTATTCATTCATTTTTTTAGTTCTCATTAATTAAATGAAATGAAACACACTCTCCCACGTGTCAGGATGGCTGAGCGCTCTAAGGCGCTGCGGTCAGGCGGCAATCCACTTCTGTGGGCGTAGGTTCGAATCCCACCTCTGACAATGTATTTCTATTCAGTCATTTTTGAGGTTTAAAAACTAAATGCAAGTAAAGTTCTAAATGTCAGGATGGCTGAGCGCTCTAAAGGCGCTGAGGTCAGGTCTGCCAGTCCACTTCTGTGGGCGTAGGTTCGAATCCACTTCTTACAATGTATTTCTATTCAAACGTTTTTTGAGGTTAAACTAAATGCAGAGAAAGCTCTTTTACGTGTCAGGATGGCCGAGCGGTCTAAAAGGCGCTGCGTTCAGGTCACTGCAAATCCCACTTCTGTGGGCGTGAGGTTCGAATCCCACTTCTGACAGTAAAATTTCATTCGGTTACTTTTCTTAGGTTCCAAAAGTAAATGTAAGGGAAATATCTCTTTCACATGTCAGGACGGCCGAGTGGTCAGGAGATGCGTTCAGGTCGCAGTCCACTTGCGTGTTCGTGAGACCAAATCCCACGTCTACAATTTTATTTCATTGAGTCATTTTTATTAGTTCTCATAAAGTAAATTAAAAGGAAACGGTCTCGCAAATTTCAGGATGGCCAAAGCGGTCAAAGGCGCTGCTTTCAGGTCGCAGTCCACTCGTTTTGGCTTGGGTTCGAATCCCACTTCTAATCATGTAATTTTATTCCGTCATTTTTTTTTTAGTTTTCATAAACTAAATGTGAGGGAAGATCTTTCACAGGATAAGATTCCTGAGCGGTCGGTCTAAAGCGCTGCGTTCAGGTCGCAGTCCACTGCTGTGGGCGTTGGTTCGAATCCCACTTTTGACAATTATATTTCATTCAGTCATTCTTTTTAGTTATTATAAATTAAATGCAAGGAAGTGCTCTCGCACTTGTCGAATGGGCGTCGGTCTAAGGCGTAGCGTTCAGGTAGCAGTCTACTTGTGTGGCGGTGGGTTCGAATCCCACTCTGACAATGTATTTCTATTCAAACATTTTTTGAGGTTAAAAAACTAAAAGCAAGGGAAAGCTCTTTTACGTGTCAGGATGGCCGAGCGGTCTAAGGCACTGCGTTCGGTCACCAGTCCAATTCTGTGAGCGTAGGTTTGAATCCCACTTCTGACAATAAGATTTTATTCAGTTATTTTTTTAGGTTCCAAAGCTAAATGTAAGGGAAATCTTTCACGTGTTAGGATGGCCGATCGGTCTAAAAGCGCTGCGTTTAGGTCGCATTCCACTTCTGTGGGCGTGGGTTCGAATCCCACTTCTGACAATAGAATTTTATTCAGTCATTTTTTTAGTTCTCATAACTTAAATGTAAGGAAACGCTCTCACTTGTCAGGATGGCCGAACTGGCTAAGACGCTGCATTCAGATCGCATTCCACTTCTGTGGAGTTCGAACCCCAATTCAGACAATAAAATTTTATTCAGTTTCTTTCTTAGGTTCCAAAAACTAAATGTAAGGAAATGTCTTTCACATGACAGGATGACCGAGCGGTCTAAGGCGCTGCTTCTAGGTCGCAGTCCACTTGTGTCGGAGTGGGTTCGAATCCCACTTCGGAAAAATGTATTCCTATTCAGTCATTTTTAAGGTTAAAAAACTAAATACAAGGGAAAGCTCTTTTACGTGCCAGGATGGCTGAGGCGCTCAAAGGCGCTGAGTTCAGGTCGCAGTTCACTTCTGTGTGCGTGGGTTCGAATCCCACTTCTGACAATAAAATTTTATTCAGTCATTTTTTCAGTTCTCGTAAAGTAAATTAAAAGGAAATTTCTCCCAAATTTCAGGATGCCCAAGCGGTCAAAAGCGCTGCGTTCAGGTCGAAGTCGACTCGTTTTGTCGTGGGTTCGAATCCCACTTCTGATAATGTAATTTATTCAATGATTTTTTTTTTTTAGTTTTCATAAACTAAATGTGGAAAACTTTTCACAGGTAAAGATTCTCGATCGGTCTAAAGTGCTGCATTCAGGTCACAGTAAAATTCTTCGGACGTGGGTTTGAATCCCTACGTTTTCAATTATATTTCATTCATTCATTTTTTAGTTGTCATTCATTAATTAAATGAATGGAAACGCTCTCCTCGTGTCAGGATGGCCGAGCGGTCTAAAGCGCTGCTTCTAGGTCGCAGTCCACTTGTGTCGGAGTGGGTTCGAATCCCATTTCGGAAAATGTATTCCTATTCAGTCATTTTGAGGTTAAAATTCTAAATGCAAGGGAAAGCTCTTTTTTACGTGTCAGGATGGCCGAGCGGTCTAAGGCGCCGCGTTCAGGTCGCAGTCCACTTGCGTGGGCGGGAGTCCAAACCCACGTCTAGCAATTATATTTAATTGAGTCATTTTTTTTTTTTTAGTTCTCATAGAGGAGTTGTGAAACGTTCTCGCAAAATAACAGGATAAGAAAAGCGGTCAAAGACGCTGCTGCGTTCAGGTCGCATCACTCGTGTGGGCGTGGTTTCGAATCCCACTTCTCATAAGGTAATTTTTATTTCATGTCATTATTTTTTTTGGTTTTCATAAACTAGAAATGTAAGGGGAAAACTGTTTTACAGGTTAAGATTCCTGATCGGTCTAAGGCGCTACGTTAAGGCCGCAGTAAAAATTCTGCAGGCGTGGTTTCGGATTCCACGTTTGACAATTATAATTCATTCATTCATTTTTTTTTAGTTCTTATAAATTAAATGAGAAAACACTCTCACACGTGTCAGGATGCCCGAGAGCGGTTAAAGAGCGATGCGTTCAGTTCGCATCCACTTTTGTGGGCGTGGGTTCGAATCAACTTCTGACAATAAAAATTTATTCAGTTACTTTTTAGGTTCAAAACTAAATTTAAGGTAAATTTAGGATGGCCCAGCAGTCAAAGGCTCAGTTGAATCCTAGGAGGACCTTTGGTCGCCAAATTTTTTGTCCTTAAAAAATTTTTTGAGTTATCATAAATTAAATGTATAAGGGAAACGCTCTCGCACGTGTCAGGATTGACTGGCGCGTTCTCAGGCTCTGCGTTCAGATCATGACTTGCGTGTTGAGGCGGTCCCGAATCCAATGTCTAGCCATTATATTTCATTTTTTTTTTTTTTAGTTCTCATAAATTAAATGTAAAGAAAACACACTCCCGTATGTCTGGATGACCGAGCTGTGTAGGCGCTGCGTTCCGGTCGCAGTACAATTCTGTGGGCGTGGGTTTGAATCCCCGCTTTGAACAATTATATTTCATTCAGTCATTTTTTTTTTTTTAGCTCTCATAAATTAAATATAAGGAAACGCGCGCTCTTTCTAGTAAGGATGTAGATCGGTCTAAGACGCTGCCTTCAGGTAGCTGTCAATTGTGTGTGGTTGGGTTGGAATCCCCGCTTCTGACAATTGTATATATTATACGGTCAAGTTTTTAATTCTCTAAAATTAAATGCAAGGAAATGATCTCACTTGTCCGGATGGGCGTGCAGTCTAAGGCGCGCTAAGTTCAGGTCGCAGTCCACTTCGGTAGGCTTGCTTCGAATCCCACTTTGACAGTGTGATATTTTTCAGTCATTTTTTATTTGTTTTCATAAATTATGGAAGGAAACGCAATACCACGCGTGCCGGGATGGCCCAGCACGAGAGTGGTCTAAAGAGGGCTGCGTTCAGGTCGCAGTCCCTTCCATGGAAGTGGGTTCGAATCCCATTTCTGACAATACAATTTTTGTTCAGTTAATTTTTTTTTTTAGGTTTCAAAAACTAAACGTAAGGAGAAAAGCTCTTTCATATGTCAAAATTCCGGAACAAGTCTAAATCGCTGCTTTCAGGTCGCAGTGCGCTTATACATGATATTATTGGTTGTCTCATACCGGACGACGTAATTCTTAACGGTCGGTACTGGTTCGGTGAAATAATGAAACAACCTTCTCGTTTCAGGATGGCCGAGCGGTTTCTGGTGCTTTGATTTTAGTTCGCAGTCCACTTCTAAAAGGGCGTGGGGTTCAAATCCTATTTTAACAATTATATTTTCATTGTTATTTTTGTTTAGTTCTCTCATAAGCTAAACGTAATGGAAGCTCTTCCATGTCAGGATGGCTGAGCTGTCTAAGGCACTGCCTTCAGGTCTGATCCACTTGTGTGGTTGCTGGTTCGAATGCCCTTCTGACAATTATATATTCTACGGTCAATTTGTTTGTTCTCAATTTAAATGTAAGGAAATGCTCTCACCCATGTTAGGATGGCTGAGTTGCTGGCGCTGCGTACAGTTCAGGGTTCGCTTCTGTTGGTGCGTGGGTTTTGAATCCTCTTCTGACAACGTAATTCGATTCAGTCATTTTTTGAGGTTCCAAACCTAAGTGTAAGGGAAAGCTCTTTCATGTTTCAGGAATGCCGAGCGGTTTGGCGCTGCTTTAGTCTGCAATCCACTTCTGTGGGCGTGGGTTCAAATCCCTCTTTTTGTAATTATATTTCATTTAGTTATGTGGCCGCGGTATCCGATTGGTATAGCATCGATCGTGGCTGTTTTGTCACGAGTTCGAGCCCAGTCACTAAAGGGTCGCCATGTAGGGCGCGATGCACGCTAAATCTGTCGAGACTGAGACGTCCTGCCATTGGTGTGTGGTAGTTAGGAGGGTGCCAACTCAGGTGTCGTCACGTCATGACATGTTTCAAATTACGATCCGTCGCCAAAGTCCTCGTGTAGCTGAACAGCGTGACGTTAATCTTCACTCACTCACAATCATTCAGTTATTTTTTTTTTTTTTTAGTTCTCTGGACTAAATTTAAGGAAACGCTCTGCACGTGTCAGGATGGCCGAGCGGTCTAAGGCGCTGCGTCAAGACGGAGTCCACTGTGGCATGGATCAGGATCACTTTGATAATGTAATTTTATTCAGTCATTTTTTTAGTTTCTTGCTAAATGTAGGGGAAAGCTCTTTCATATGTCAAGACTCCCAGCGGTCTAAAGCGCTTTCAGTTCCCAGTCCACTTCTGTGGGCATGGGTTCAATCCCACTTTTAGCAATTATATCTTTATTCACTTATTTTTTAGTTCTCGTAAAATAAATGTAAGGTAACGCTCTTGCACGTGTGAGGATTGCCGAGCGCTCTAAGGGCAAAAGCTGTGCGTTCAAGACGGAGTCCACACGTGTGGGTCACGGCACGAATCCCACTTCTGACAACGTACTTTTTATTTAGTCATTATATTTTTTGATTTTTATAAACTAAATGTATGAGAAGCTCTCTTTCAAATGTCAAGGATTTGGCCGAGCGGGTCTGAGGCGCCGCGTTCAGGCTCTCGGTCCACTTCCTTGTGTGGGCGTGGATTCGAATCGCACTTCCGGCCGGCGTAATTTTTTCAGTCATTTTTTTAGGTTCCGCAACCTGAATGTAAGGGGAAAGGTCTGTCAGACTTCCAGCATGGCCGAGCGGTTTAATGCGCTGCGTTCAGTTCCCGCGGTCTACTTCGTCAGGAGGTTGGGTGGTCGCGGTAGCCGAGTGGTATGTATGGGTATCGGATCGTGGCTTGCTCTGGTCACGGAGTTCGATCCCAGTACCGCTAAAGACCACACCGTGGCGGGGGCAGCGATGCACGTTAAATCTGTCGAGAGCTGAAACGTCCTCCCGTTGGTGGTGGTAGCGTTAGGATAGGGGGTGCTAGCTCAGGGTGTCGTCCATGTCACTTGACCATGGTTCAAAATTACGTGGTCCGTCGCCAAAAGCCCTCGTGTAGCTGAACAGTGCAACGTTAATATTAAATTAATCAATCAATCAATCTGTTCGGCGTCGGTTCAAATCCCACTGCCAGCAGGTATATTTCATTCAGCATTCTTTTTTTATTTCTCATTAATAAATATGTAAGAAGAAACTTGCTCTCGCACGTGCCAGGATAGCCGAGCGGACTAAGGCGCTGCGTTCCAGTCGCAGAGGTACTCGTGTTGGGCGGTTCAGATACTTCTGG